ACGTCACATCTGCCCTGTTCCGTACGCTTTCTCGTGTTTTGTTTCACCTGTGGCTGCTCATGCGTCGCTTGAGCCGTCCCGGTCTTTGATCAGGGTGCCCTCTTATCTTCTCCTCAGTTTGTGGTAGCCCCTTGGGTTCAAGTTTGGTTTTCATAGGCCATATTTTGTTGGCATGGGCCTCTGCGAGTCGGGTCGGGGAGCTTCCGGCTCTTCCGGTGCAGAGGTTTCTGCTCTTTGGTACTGGTGGTAGGTTTGTATGTTTGCAGCCTTTCTCCATCCTTCTGGCAACGGTCGAGATGGCTGCTTTCCGGAGGGGTCCTTGGGTTATTGATGCTTGATTGGTTTGGCCGGTGGTGCGTCTTGTGTTGTCCGGTTGCCCCTCTTTGCCGTTACCTGCGTACCGTGTCTGGGGATGCGCTTTGGGTTGATCCGGTTCCCCTCATTCCCTGTTTCAGGGCTCGGGTCTTCCAGGTTGTCCGCAGAGTTTTTAAGTCTTCCAGCCTGTGGTGTATCCTTGCGCCCGTGCTGTTCGGACATTTGCAGCTTTCGCTGCTGTGTTGGTGACGTCTAGGGCTCATTTCGGGAGCGAGGATTTGAGTGTCGCAAAGGTTCCTGGCCGCCCGTTCTTTATGCGCGTGTCTGCTCCTGTGCGTTCTTGTTGCCTTGGGTCGCAGGTTGCAGCCTGTTGTCTTGGCTTCGCGTTGCGTAGTGCGGAGTTTGTGGCGGCCGCCTCCCGGGTCAGCCCTTTCTTTTCCTTCTCTTTGGGTATGAAGCTCCAGGGAGCCGTAGGGGCTCCCCACAGAAAACCAGCGTTGAATGTAATGAAACGCCATTTTCTGGGTGAGCCCCGGAGGCTCTCTGGCAACCCTCCCTCCCATCGGTCGGCGTTTTTTTCGCGTTGGTTGAAGCTTAGCTTCCGAACTGATGCTAGGCAGCCGGCGTGGTGAGGTCCGGGGGGGCGGGGAGGGCTGCGCGGACGATCGGCGCGGCAGTAAAGTGTGATGTCTGCTTGTTTGCTTGTTTCCTTGGGATTGTAGGGAGTTTCTACTCTCTGTTTAGTTTTATGTTTTAGTTTTTTACCATGTGGGGTTTGTTTTGTTATGCCTACCTTTCTGGGTGCCTAACCCCAGTCGATGGCAGATAAGGAAATCCCCAACCACAAAGGGGTTTTCCAGGGCCATTGCTCCCTGAAACCTCTCTGAAGGGGCCAGGTTCTGGCGCTGGTCCCTGGTAGGTCTGAACTCCTTAGCTAATGTCCCGGTCTAATATAACATACATTAGCCCGATAAGCTCCAGGGAGCCTCCGGGGCTCACCCAGAAAATGGCGTTTCATTACATTCAACGCTGGTTTTATGCTCAAATGGCCAAAAATCCGACAAAAAACTGTAAATCCTTGCGAAGAATTTATGCGGCATAGTCACTGGGCGCGAGGCACTGGAAAACTGAGGGGCGATCGCTGTGCCACTACGTGCTAGGTCGGCCTGTACGCATATCAACACCCTCGTATTCTGAGGCAATGCTTGTATTCCGATGTAAATTTTCTGAGCAAATCCTGCTTGTAGTCCGAAAAACTCGTAAACAGGGACACTCGTAATCCGAGGTACCACTGTACAGGTCTATAGTTGAAGGGGTCTTCCCTGCTATCACTTTTGTAGATTGGAACTATGTTGGCCTTTTTCCACACGTCTGCTACGACTCCTTTACACAGGGATGCCTGAAAGTTCAGGTGAAGTGGAATGCTGAGCTCAGATGCACATTCTCTCAGAACTCATGGTGAAACTCCATTTGGGCCAACTGCTTTGTTCTTACTTAGCTCCTTTAGCATATTTTCCACTTCATCTCTATATGCTCTATGTTGTTCTCTGGAATTCTTATTGTGTCTGGTTTTCTGAAGATTTCATTTTGTACAAACACACTTTGGAACTTTTTGTTTAATGTTTCACACATTTCCTTTTCATTTTCTGTGAATCTGTTTCCCATATTCAACTTCTGGATATTATCCTTTACCTGCAATTTGTTGTTTATGAATTTGTAGGATACGCCCGGTTTTGTTTTACATTTAACCGCTATCCCTTTTTCAAAATTTCTTTCTGCCTCCTTCCTTACTGCCGTATAGTTGTTTCTTGCAACTTTGTATTACTGGTATGTTTGGGGGTTTGGCCTCTTCCAATATTGATTCCATTTTTGTCTTTTGGTCTCTGGCCCTCTCGCAATTTGTGTTGAACCAATCCTGTTTTCAGGCCCTGCATCTCTGTTTTGGTATGAATGTTAGTGTGCCTTCATTGTATATTTTGCAAAATTTGGCATACATTTCATTTACTTCCCTGCCTAGCAGCAAGTCTGTCCAATTACAGTCATTAAAATTTTTCGAAGTTCCCCATAGTGACCTCTCTTGAAATCGAGTTTATCAACTGTTTCAATGTCCCCATTTTCTTCTAGATGACATCTTAAAGCATATTTAATGTCAAACAGGATGTGATCACTCTTTCCCAAGGGAGGAAGGTATTGGATGTCAAATATCTCTTCTTCTTTCCTGGTGAATACTCGATCCAATACTAACGGTACATCTTTCCCTCATTCTTGTGGCTCTGCTTGATGTGTTGATGCAAGAATGTCTCCAGAATGAGGTTCACAAATCTGCATGTCCAAAAGTCCTCCGTTCTTGCTTCATAGACCTCCCAGTCTATTGCTTTAAAGCTGAAGTCCCCCAGTATCAACAGTCGTGATTTATCTTTATCGGCTTGTACAATAATATCTCTCATGACCATTATGAGGTCCTCTCTTTTGTCATCCAGTTCTTCCTTTGTCCATGTGTTGCTTGCTGGTGGGCTGTAGGCATTTACAATTATCAGCTTATCATCCTGATTCTAGACCTGCAATGCCATTGTGTCAGTATCTCGAGGGTTTTCAATTTTGCGCTCTCGACGCAGTAAAAAAACTTCCCCCTTGTGCGTGCGGCGTTTCGGGCGATCGAGCGACAACACTGAAAAGTGTATATTCTTTTCACTGTCCTGACGTTAATTTTCGATGTACGTATTTCATTTTTGTCCCAATGTGTTCACAATAGAATGTTCTAGAAGAACATAAGTATAAAATGTCACCAAAACATGAGTTAGACCAGCACCAAATAAAGAACTACGTCGATCACTAGCCGTGAGCGCCAGACAGCAACGAAATGTTTCTACTCTCTTCAGGGTTGTCAACTCCATACTTGTCCTACAGCGTTAATTTTGGTATCACTGAAATTGCAATAAAATTCCCTACGCGGACATATGCATATAAATATAGAATCAATGTCGCAGCCCACCCACAAGAGTGTGGGAAATGGCCGAAGTGTTACTCGTGGCGGCATATCGGCGAAACCCCATAATGAATACAGTATCCACTCAATTTAACGGCCTATATGGGGCTGTACCCTAGTCGTTATTTCCGGAGCTCCGTTATTTTCGAAGTTAAGTCGGGTCGGGTAATTTTTCAAGTAACATTCAGGTAGGATATATTTTATACTGTATAACTAAAATTAAATAAAGTTCATTGTGTAATTGCATTCCAATTTAGTGCCACACCGACGATTAAGCCAGTTGTTGGCTGCTGCATGGATGATGTGTGAACACGGTCTGATCAAGCCCAGATGGGTGGGAAAAAATTGATTCATTCCTTTGTATTGCAAAATATTTCGTGTATCAATCAGCAAGTTAATATTTTCTCAATAATATTTTAGAGATGTGTTTTGATTTACCCTGAACAGTGCAGGTAATGTATTTTTAATGTTACAACACACGCTGTGGCGGCCATGCCATAACAATGGCGATCGAGCCTTGTCACTGAGAGCTAGCCAAGACGAAATATTTTGAGCTCACCTATTCTCTGCTGACGATAGAATATACATTTGCAGAGACTAATATGTAGCTTTTGTTGAAAAAAAAAAATTAATATCTTGTAATACTATAATAAAATTGGTAAATTGACTTACTTTTAATGAAGCTGAAGATTACGAAGCTGTGAAGATTACGTCATCCTCTGCAGCGCTTGTTTTATATTGTTTATATTGTATACAGGGTACATACTGTATGTACACTTATTTTCAGGCATATTTTAATAGAGTATCCTTCTGTTTCTTGATGTCACTTACTGTACTTTTCCCGATGTTAAACTCTGCTGCTGCTCGTGCATGAGAATATCCTTTATCAAGTTTCTTAATTAACTCCAGCTTCTGTGCAACCGTCAGGCGCTTCCTTTGGGTAACTTTTGGCATTTTGTAAATTAAAAAGATCACAATTACAGTACAGTAATATCCTTCACAATTGAAGCTAGCCGCGCGAGTTCACAGTAAACACTGGGAACACATGGCCCGGCGGAGTACATTCTAGGTCCGTGGGAAAAAAATACCTAGTGCCTATACTATAAAAGGTATTTAATAAGAAAACAAAGACTTTTGCTTAATAAAAACTGTTTCAAAATATTTTATTAATAATAATTTACAATTTTCTTCATTAAAGTGAATCATTTTAAAAGAAAATTAAGATGTAATATATGACTCTGGACGATCCAGGTCGGTGGCCTGGTCGCCATGTGAGGGGACGCTGATGCCACAACAAACCCAATACCGACCGTCGGTAATATCGACCGCAGACCGGTATAGCAGGCTCCAGATACCGGTCTCCCAAACCGGTCGTTAATACCGGCAGATCGGTATAAAAGAGGCCGTTAAATTGAGTGGATACTGTAAGGAACATGTTCCCCTTCCCTCTGTTCTTTACACCCCTTTCCTTTAATGATTTTGTTGCTTTGTCTCGTGTACCATTTCACAAGCTTTCCAGTCCCTGACACTTTGTAAAAAAAAAAAAATCTTCATTTTTATCCCCATTTAGGTGTTTCGCTTCAATAAGGTTCATTTTCAGTTTTTCTCTGTCCTCCTTTGAGAGGTCTTGTCTTATTGTGTGTGTAGTAAATTACCTAATGAAAATTCAGAATTTAGATGGCTAAATATTTTTTTTCAGCATACTGTTTTCGGCATTACCCCAGAGCAAGTGTTGAGCCGCGCTGAGGTTTGCGTTTCGAACAAACAAGTTGAGAAATTGGCCGATGCATTGGAAGAAAGAATAGAGCAGGAATGTACACGGATTGCCTCTTTTATGGATCCAATAGGTGAGAATTGCTGGGACACAACTTGCACATGTGTGACAGTAGGCAGGTGTGATGGGGACACATGTGACAGTAGGAAGGTTTGATGGAGACAGGTGTGATGGAGTAGACAGTCTCCCATACCAATTACTACAAGAGTCTCCCATACTAATGACTGCAAGTGTCCACCCCCCATACCAATTACTACAACAGTGTCTCCCATACTAATGACTGCAAGTGTCCACCCCCCATACCAATTACTACAACAGTGTCTTGCATACCAATAATTCTGCCCCAATATTCCCCACTTTACTCCACCAAGAAGGCAACATTACCATAGGCATATCCTGCTTGAAGTGTTCTCTGCATTGTTGGTCAGTAATCACCTCGGTTGTTGCAGAGTTTGTGAACTACGACCCAGATGATGTTGCAAAGATTCCCGACCGTTTGAGCGACGTCAAACGAAAGTGTGCGGATGAGAGGGCAAAGCTCGTGCACAGCATGATGCAGACTGACTGCCTCTTCCAGCAGGTTGGTGAAGTTTGGGATTGGTCTTGATGGATTGGTGGACATTGGTGGGTCTCTTGTGATTGGTGGAAATGATTGGTTTACATTGGTAGGTAAACTCACAATGGTGGTCTATTTACTGGTTCATCCTTATCTCCAAGTTTAACCCCTAACACTGTTCCATTCTTGCTACCCCTTACACAGCTCCAATCTTGTTAACCCTTACACTGCTCCAATCTTGTTAACCCTTACACTGCTCCAATCTTATTAACCCTTACACAGCTCCAATCTTGTTAACCCTTACACTACTCCAATCACTATCAGTGTGTTTCTCCTAATCTCAAAGGACCATATGTGAATAATCCTTATGAGTTTTCAAAACTAGTTTTTCTCTGTGTAACTGGATGTAGGTTTTAAATTGTTTATCAGTTACAAGTAGAGTAAATAGTGACAGATTCACTAGCACGAGTGTCAAATCTAAGGTAGAAAACAGGCAATGGCATAAAAAATACAGTACTGTAAGAGCTTGGTAAATTGGATTCTAGTAACCCAAATCTCTAAATGAATTTATGTTTGAAATTTTAACTCATTTTACCTATTGGACCCATATAGGAATTCATATTAAATGTTACAGCGAATGAGAAACTCTTATTAAATTTGAATTTGAGTGCTTGACTTCTGAACTTGAATAGTAAATTGGGTTACTGAGATTTCTGCTGAACGAGATACCCTTATAAATTCGAATGTGTTCATTTTTGGAAATTTCTGGTTAAAAAATCAGCATAGTGGAGTGGGAATGGGCCCCATATGTTTTAAATTACCAAGTGTAGACAGTATTCCTTCCAGCTTGTGTAACGGGTGTCTCAGGAACGTTCTCCTTCAAGCCAGCCTCATAAACGAGGAGAGTTCTTGAGTTCCTTCTCATACTGTGAACACTAATAAATATTCCTCATCATCACTTAGCTTATCCAAAATCCTGCCTAATTTGTCTGGTTGATTTGTCCGTTTACTTGCGGCAGTCATGAATGCGTCTTCAAGATCAACGTGAGTAACGATGTTGATCTTGAAGATGCGTTCAAGATCAGTGTGAGTGACGATGGCGAGCTTGAAGGTGCATTCAAGATCAATGTGAGTGACGATGTTGATCTTGAAGATGCATTCAAAATCAACGTCATCAGAACGCGTCATCACATTCTGCATTCCGTCATCACTCCATTGTGTTAGGTGTTGAGAGGCACCGATACAAATATTTTCTGAAGAGAGCAGGTCATCACCAGAGACGTCAAAATATGTCAAGAGAAGGAAAATTGGATAGACTGTATAACGCTCTTTATACCTTTCCTCACATAAGATGAAGAGACGAGCAGGGACAGCTGGGAAGTCATTCAAATAGGTAAAATATAAGTTGTGGATGGAGTTGGCTTCAACAACCTCTTCCTTCCTTACTGGAGAGGAATGGCAAACAGGGTCCCACAGAGCACTGTTCAAGGCCTGTCACTATTCTAAATCTATGTAAACACCCTTTCAAAGGAAGTGAGCTAGTGAGCCTGGCAATGTTTGCCCAATGACTCAAAGATGGCGAGGACGACTGTAGTACTGCAGGGAGACAGTGACATAATCCAGGAGTGAGCAGACAAATGGTTGTTGGAGTTTACACAAACAAGTGTATGGTAGCAACGATGGTGAAGCAAGACAGATGATCGGATGGAATATACTGTACACAGTATGAAAGGGACGTAAACAAAATAAAGAATTTGGAGTGGGTGTAATTTCATCATTAACACCAGATATGGACATATACGGGGTAACGTCAGTGACCTATGGGAAACTAATGAACATAAGACCTTACATTTATAAATCAAAACAAGGATGCTTTTAAGAACATACACGGTCTTATGCGAGACCTTTACTATTTTATAGAGGCAGCACAACATGGAATCTGGGCCTCTATAGCACAAAAGAAGAAACTTGAAGACGTACATATTGTGAGTTGCTACAGGACAAGTACTGGAATTCAGAGCATTAAGCTATGAGAACAGGTTAATGGAACTAAATTAGACAACCCTAGAAGAGAAAAGGAAGAGCAGGTATATATGATGGCAAACAAAATACTGCAAGGAATAAAAAAAGTGAACAGGACGACCTCTTAGAAGATAAGACACGAGAAAGTGTGAAAGCCGGAAATTCAAATGAGTTTAAGAAATGATGGAAAATTCTTTGCTCGTACTACGTACAAGCAGTCACCTAGTTCTGTGTATGGAAAGAAAAAGTTATGAAGCCACCTCTATTCAAAACCAATCAAGAAAGTTAAAATAAAGCACAACACGTCAAACAAAGCAAGTGGGCGGGGCATAACAAAATAGATCTCAGTATGTCATGAGCTTTGTTGTGTAAGCACAGCCACCACCATGATCAGCTCCTCTTCAACCAGCTTGGAGGCATCTTGCTGCAGTTTGAAGAACTTTAGATTTGCATTGAATATAATTGTATAATTTATAAAGCATTCATTCAAATATTTAATCATAAATATGGCTAGCATAAAAGACCAAGGATTTCTTAAGTACGGTACTACTAATGATTAATTATAAACCAGAGTCACAGAAGTTAAACAAATTGAGGATATTACGTGTATGAAAAAAGCTCTCGTTCACTGTACTTCATATTTGTGTAGGTCTTTAGAGATATACTGTACTGCACATGAGGTAATTTCTGTTATAGGTGTACTGCCTCCTCCTGGAGTACAGCAAGGTGCTGCAGGATATGATGACGAAGCAACGGTTGTCTCAGTTTCCGGCACACCATACAGCAAGCGGTATCGCTATGTGCAACACTCACCTCAAGAAACTGAGGTAAGTCAATATGCTGTTGGTGTCGGTAGTGTACATAGGCAGGAAAGGTGTCTGCGAGGTGGGGCTGTTTGGAGTCATGTACCTGTTGGTACCCAGTAGTGTATGTGGGCAAGGAAGGTGTCTGTGTAGAGGGGTGTACAGGGTCATACTCCTTAAAGGCACTTACATTTACTCTGTATGGGATACAGCGAGTTGAATATTAATTGACAGGTTTTTGTAACAGAATTTGTGAAGTGTGTTACCAGTAATAAAAATATATTTGGTTCACAAAAGTTTCAGTTGAATTTTTGTCTTTAGTACACACAGAAATCATGATAGAGTGATACGTCAAATGAACAAATCCACAAGGGCCCGTGATGAGGGTTCGAACCCACGCTTGGGATCATCTTCTTGAGGTTATCTTGAGATGATTTCGGGGCTTTTGTGTCCCCGCGGCCCGGTCCTCGACCAGGCCTCCACCCCCAGGAAGCAGCCCGTGACAGCTGACTAACACCCAGGTACCTATTTACTGCTAGGTAACAGGGGCATTCAGGGTGAAAGAAACATTGCCCATTTGTTTCTGCCTCATGCGGGAATCGAACCCGTGCCACAGAATTACGAGTCCTGCGCGCTATCCACCAGGCTACGAGGCCCCATATGAGATGGGATGATCCCAGACACACCTTAGTCGACTGTGCCATGACATGGTAAAAGAATTGATTGCAATAGTGAGTTCTACTGCCCTCACATGGATCCTACAGCCTCTCCGAAACACAAACTGGGGTTTTTACACAATTCCCCCATGCACCCGGGCTCTGTCAACCAGATGTTCTACCTCTTCACCCTTACTTCAATACACACAGAAATCACAATAGCGTGATACGTCAAAGGAACAAATCCACAAGGACCGTCCGTGATGAGGGTTCGAACCTACGTCCGGGATGGTCTCAGCCGCGCCTTTGTTGACTGCACCACGACATGGTAAAAGAATTTGATTTCTGTGTGTATTTAAGTAAGAGCGAAGAGGTAGAACATCTGGGTGACAGAACCCGGGTGCATGGGGGAATTGTGTAAAATCCCGGTTTGTGTCTCGGAGAGGCTGCAGGATCTGTGTGAGGGCAGTAGCATTCCCGGTTGCAATTCTTTTACCATGTTGTGGCGCAGTCAACTAAGGCGCATCTGGGATCATCCCGGACATAGGTTCGAACCCTCATTACACTCCTTGTGAATTTGTTTATTTGTCTTTATTTTAGTGAAATAGCAGCTTTACAGTTCCATGTACTGTGTCTTGAATGTTTTTCTGGGGGAAGAGTCCCTTCGGCTACCCGGAGCTATCCAGGCTGATGTGTATATCTGTAGACTTTGGCATCAGTCAGTGTGAATGGAGTTCTAGGTCCACTGGGGACCATGAGCCAGAACCTGGCCCCCTCAGAGGGGCACGAGGAGCAATAGCCTATAGAAATGCACATGTGATTTGGAGCATTCTATATCTGCCATCGACCAGGACAGGCACCCAGAAAGGTAATCGCCCCAAAACAAACCCTTATTCTGGTTAAAACGACAAAAATAGACAAATGAATAGACAGAACCCAACTGAAAACGAGCAAACGAGCATAACGACACACGAGCTGTGCCGCATGTCTGCGCAGCTTCCCCTGCACCGGGAGGGGGGAAGGGGGAGCTCCACACTCTGCACCGGTGATCCATCCTGTAGTTCTTCGGGTGATGTGATTGTGGCATGGTCGTGTGGCTCCAGCTCCAGATTCTCTCTGTGCCTTGTGTCCAGTACTGCTCTTACGGTGGCATACGAGCTGGGAGTAATATTCACAGGTACTCGGGCTGCATGTGATTAGGGTTTCCTTCCCTGAGTGCCCTGTAAGTACCGCCCTTAGGGCTTGGGGTTATCTTCCACAAGTCACCTTGGGGTCTACCTCTGTTGGTCTTTTGCTGCTCGGTGGTTGACCGCCCCGAGTGTGTTGGGGGGGGGGGGGTTCCTCCCTTGCTTACCCTGGGGTAAGGGGTAGTTTTTGCACTGGTAGGGGCACGGGGTACTGCGCAGCTAGTTTTCACGTATAACAGTGGCCGGCTCTGTTCCTCCTGCGTACGTTGTCCTCTTGCGGGGTTTTTCTTTTTTTTATTGTTTTCTGCTTGATGGGGGATCTGCCTTTTTGTCCCTTGCTTCCTGTTATGTTAGGGTTTGACCTGTTTTCGTTGGCCCCCCCTCCTGCTTGGCCACCGTGAGTGGACACGTCCCGGGGGGTTCAGCTTTAGCAGATTGTTTGGTAGCTTTGGGCATAGGTTAGCAGTAACCTGCCTGAGCTTACCCTTAGTGATACCAGTCCAAGGGCCCTGGGAAACCCCGCAGGGGCACAAAGGGTCCAATGGATGCGACCCTTGGGTCCAGAACATATGTTTGGCACATGTGCCATTAGTTCACCACCACCCCTGTGCTATTTAATATTCTATTTTCCCCAGGTGCTTAGAGTTAGAGCTGCTCATCGAGACATACACTAGCCAGGCGGTCCAAGCCCTGAAGCTCATACATGGTCACCTGGAAGATCGCAGAGTGCGGGCCGAGAAGTCCTTGACTCGTCTGGAGCACAAAATGAGCAGCTACAGTGGACTTGATTCTAAGTTCCAGGACTTGTTAAAGGAATATTCAAAACTCCAACAAGATATAATCTTTACAAAAAAATCAATGGAAGAGTTTGCTGAGTGATATGTCAGATTTGTGATTTATAATTTTTTTTTTTATTGTTGCTTGGCTATTGTGTTCCAGATAAAAGCCAATGAATGCTGTGTATGTTTGTATGTATGTATGTACAGTATGTGTGTATGTGTACTCACCTAATTGTGCTTGCAGGGCTTGAGCTTTGTCTCTTTGGTCCCGCCTCTCAACTGTCAATCAGCTGGTGTACAGATTCCTGAGCCTACTGGCCTCTGTCATATCTACATTTGAAACTGTGTATGGAGTCAGCCTCCACCACATCACTGCCTAGTGCATTCCACTTATTAACTACTCTGACACTGAAAAAATTCTTTCTAACGTCTCTGTGGCTCATCTGGGTACTAAGTTTCCACCTGTGTCCCCTTGTTCATGTCCCACCCGTGCTGAAGAGTTTGTCTTTGTCCACCCTGTCAATTCCCCTGAGAGTTTTGTAGGTGGTTATCATGTATCCCCTTATTCTTCTGTTTTCCAGGGATGTGAGGTTCAGCTCCTTTAGCCTTTCCTCGTAGCTCATACCTCTCAGTTCCGGGACGAGCCTGGTCGCATACCGTTTAGTCTTCTCTATAACTGTCTTGTGTTTAACTAGGTATGGACTCCAGGCTGGAGCTGCATATTCCAGGATTGGTCTGACATATGTGGTATATAGGGTCCTGAACGATTCCTTACACAAGTTTCTGAAGGCAGTTCTTATGTTGGCCAGTCTAGCATATGCCGCTGATGATATCCTTTTGATGTGGGCCTGTGGAGACAGGTTCGGTGTGATATCAACCTCTAGATCTTTCTTTCTTTCTATTTGATTCTTGCAGGTTTTCACCTCCCAGATGGTATCTTGTGTTCAGCCTCCTGCTCCCTTCGCCTAATTTCATTACCTTACACACTCCTGAGTTGAACTTTAGCAGCCATTTTCTAGACCATTCCTCCAGATTGTTCAGGTCTTCCTGTAGTCTCTGTCTATCTTCATCCATCTTGATTCCATTGAGAGGAATGAGTTTATACCCTCCGAAAGATCGTTTACATATATTAGAAACAGGATGGGTCCAAGTACTGAGCCCTGTGGGACTCCGCTGGTGACATCTCGCCACTCTGATGTCTCCCCCCTCACCGTTACTCGCTGTTTCCTGTTGCTTAAATACTCCCTTATCCACTGGAGCACCTTCCCTTTTATTCCTGCCTGTTGCTCCAACATTTTTAACAGCCTTTTATGGGGTACTGTGTCAAAGGCTTTCTGGCATTCCAGGAAAATGCAGTCGGCTCACCCTTCTCTTTCCTGCCTAATTTTTGTTGCCTGGTTATAGAATTCTATTAAACTTGTGAGGCACGATTTACCATCTCTGAACCCATGTTGGTGGTGTGTTACAAAGTTATTTCCCTCCAGATGTTCTACGAGCCTTTTCCTCATGATCTTCTCCATCACCTTGCATGGTATACAAGTTAGGGAAACTGGCCTGTAGTTCAGTGCCTCTTGCCTGTCACCCTTCTTGTATATTGGGACTACGTTAGCTGTCTTCCAACTTTCTGGTAAGTCTCCTGTTTCCAGTGATCTATTATACACCATAGAGAGTGACACACTTAGTGCTTCTGCACCTTCCTTCAGTATCCATGGTGAGATTCTGTAAGGCCAAACAGCCTTTGTCACATCCAGCTCCAGCAGACACCTTTTGACCTCATTACTGGTGAGATCAAATTCCTCCAAGGTTGCTTGGTTTGCCACCTCCTCATTTAGTGCAGGGGCTACTCCTTGTTCTATTGTGAAGACCTCCTGGAATCTCTTGTTGAGTTCTTCACACACCTCCTTGTCATTCTCTGTGTATCTCCTTTTCTCAGTTTCATCGCTTGTTCCTTCAATGCTGTTTTCCTCCTGATGTGGCTGTGGAGCAGCTTTGGTTGGGTCTTGGCTTTACTCGCTATGTCATTTTCAAACTGTCTCCCTGCTTCCCTCCTCACTCTGAGGTATTCATTTCTGGCCCTCTGGTATCTCTCCCTGCTCTCCGGTGTTCTGTTATTTCTGTAGTTTCTCCATGTTCTTTTACTCAGTTGTTTCGCTACCTTACATTCCTGGTTGAAGCATGGGTTTTTCTGTTGTTTTTCGTTTTTCTCCTTTTGGACGGGGATAAACCTGTCTGCAGCTTCCTGGCACTTCTGGGTGACAATATCCATCATGACCTGCACATTCTTGTTTTTAAGTTCTGTTTCCTATGGTATTCTCCTGAGGAAGTTCCTCATCTCGTCATATTTTCCTCTTCGGTAATTTAGTCATTTTCCCTCTACTCCCATCCTTGGATACGTTATCCCTACCTCCACCAAGTACTCAAAGGTCAGTACACTGTGGTCACTCATTCCTATGGGGGCTTCAACTTTGACTTCCCTTATTTCTGACTCATTCAGGGTGGATATCAAGTTGAGTGTAGCTGGTTCATCATTGCCTCTCACTTTTGTGGGTTCCTTGACATGCTGGCTCAGAAAGTTCCTTGTTGCCACTTCCAAGAGTTTAGCTCTCCGCGTATCTGCACCACCATGTGGGTCCCCATTCTCCCAGTCTATCTTTCCATGGTTGAAATCGCCCATGATTAAGAGTCTTGAGCCATTCCTGCAGACAACTGAAGCTGCTCTCTATTATATTAATGGTTGCCATGTTATTCCTATCAAACTCCTGTCTAGGTCTTCTGTCATTTAGGGGAGGGTTGTAAATGACTGCCACTATTATCTTAGGTCCACCCATTGTTATAGTTCCTGTTATGTAATCTTTGAACCCATCACAGTCCGGAATTTCCATGTCATCAAAACTCCAGTCCTTCCTTATCAGCAGGGCCACTCCTCCACCTCTTCTCCCTTCCCTCTCTTTCTTTACTATATAGTAGTCCTTTGGAAACACAGCATCTGTTATGACTCCTGACAATTTTGTTTCCGTGAGTCCTATTACATCAGGGTTTTCTTCTTGCGCCCTTTCTGCCAGTTCACTTGCTTTATTAGTAATCCCATCAATGTTTGAGTACATTACCTTGAAGCTCACTTTCTTATATCTAATTTCACCCTCGCTCCCCACAAGTGTAGGAAGTTGTTCCATGGTCATTGCTACTTGGGTAGGCTCATCCTCCTGTGAGGTAGTTGCCAGGGGTTCAGGGGGAGGTGGTGTGGGGGATGGAGGGCTTAGGTCTTGCTCAGGCCTGCTTGGGGCAGGAAGAAGTCCTGGGGGTGAGGGGGCAGGGATTGCTTGGGGAGAGAACACGCCCTCCTGCGGTGTAGTTGACAGGGGTTTGGAGGGAGGTGGAGTGGGGGATAGAGGGCTTAGGTCTCGCCTGGGCCTGCTTGGGGCAGGAAGAAGACCAAGGGTTGGGAAAGCAGGGGGTACTTGGGGTAAGGGGAGGGGGAGGATTTGGGTTTTATGATGGGCATTGTGCAGGGGCAAGGAAGGGTTTGTGCTGGGGGATAGGGGGGGCCCTATTGGGTGATGGGCTGGGGTGTTGCAGTTCCCCCTGGGGCTCCTGAGTTGCTGGATTGGGGTTCCCCACTCCCCTCTGGGATTGCTGGGTTGGAGGCTGATGTTCCCTGGCTCCCTTCCCTCTCCTTGTGCCTTTTCCTTGCATCTGCTGCCCTTACTATCTCGTCTCTGGTCATGTCCCTACGAACATATACCTCTTTGTAATTCCTTGCATACCTCAGTTTGCTCTTCCTTACTAGGATGTCCTCTTTGATGACCTCGCTCTTGAACACTACCTTGATCAATCTCTTTTTGTCTCTGTTGTACTGGCCAATTCGGAAAAAAACTGTTCTATGTCTCGTTCAGACCCTTCCATTCCTATCTCCTTTAATATCCCTGCCACTTTGCTTTGTCTTTAGTCCTCGATTCCTCCCTTGTGGAGCCCTCTTGTTCCTTCACACCTACCACTACTGCAGCTCTTACATACTCACATACACATCTAAGTGTATGTGTATACTCCACATACACACTCCACATGTACTCTGCCTCCAGCCCAGCAATCCCAGAGGGGAGTGGGGAACCCCAATCCAGCAACTCGGGAACCCCAGGGGGGACTGCAACACCCCAGCCCACCACTCAATAGTGCCCCCCCCCCTCTAACCCCCAGCACTTCTGGCTGCCTGCACACAAGTCCAGGCAGCCAGGGAAGGCACAAGTGTAGGACGGCGGTCCGCGAATTAGTTCAGTATTCTTGGGATATTTATGTGAGCCCAAAACATAGTTTTTGGTCATATGAAGGGTACAGCAACGCAGTGATAACGCATCATAGTGAATTCTTATAACGTTGGATAAGAAAAAAATTGAAAAAGAACGAGTTTGAGGCAAGACAGTGGCATCAGCGGGCTGGGAAGGGAATAATTTGGACCACCACGTGGAGAGGAGCTCTGGCCTACAGGGACGTCAGCAATTAAGGCAGACATCGCTTCATAAATCACCTAGTTGTGCTTTGGGATGTTTACTTGGATGTGAGTGCCTCTCAAAGTCAGTCATACAAGGTGTACAGTGTTTTTTATATAATAATTAGCTTTGGACTTAAGTTAAAATACAAAAAAGTAGCTCAAGAGTCTCAGCTTGGTACTAGTTTTTTCACACCTGTGTGTTACATTACACCGCCATGGACTAGCTCCCACCTCACCATAACACGCCAATGTAAACACACACACACACACGCGCGCGCACACACACGCACACACACACGCACGCACGCACATACCCGCACACATACACGCACGCACACATGCACGCACGCACACACGCATGCACGCACGCACGCACACACACATGCACGCACGCACGCACGCACGCACGCGCACACGCGCACACACACACACACGCACAAACCAGCCTACCGCCAACCTTACCCCTCACCCCCGGGACTGACCTTCCGTCTTTCACCCACCTGATTGCCCTCCTTTCTCTCTCTCCCGCTCTGCCTCTCAACCCCACTCTGCCTCTCTCCCTCTCTCCCCCTCACTCCGTCTCTCCCTTTCACTCCGTTTCTCTCCCTCCATCAGTTAACCCCATCCCCAACCGTGCCACCCCCACAATAAACACACACACACACACACCTCGAGTCTATAATTTATAACACGCCAATGTAAACACAGGACGAATCTAATCGTCTATACCCTCCGGGGTATAGATATTATATCTATATAGATATTATATCTATATAGATATTATAGATATTTATCTATACTCAA